GGCATTAGAATATGTCTGGTTAGAGTGGAAACCATGTAATCAGAGTTGGCCTGAATTAGAGTGATAACAGAACTAGCTTCAATTTATTCTGAGGAACTTGTGACATTGCCTCAAGATCTATTGAAGTCATTGTTAATTTGATGCGGAATTGACGCATTCCTTGGTGGCCCGAGCGAATCCGACACGTTTGTTTCCATGATCGAAGACAGTGTAGAAGTTACGTAGGAAGACGTCACCGAGAATCCAGATAGGCCCCGAAAAGTAATCTTTATTCAAACATGGCGTAGTATTTAATCATGAGGGACATACCAATGGGAGGCGGAAGATCGAGTCCCAAGAAACCGAGTGTACATGTCTGGTTCATCTGAAAAATTACATTGTTGCGTTGGGGTCTTTTCATCAATCCATCTAAATCGATATACTTGCCAATGTTCTTTGGATAACTCATCTACGTTCACTGAATACCTGGACAACGTAGTCGGAACCTTGAAGAATGAAGTCTTGACCACCAAGGGTAAAGGTAAGTGTTGGTAGACTTTAGGTGGTGTTGCATTCAATTTCGTATGTGCTTTGTGCACTTACTTTTGCTCCGTCGAGTTTTATAATCTGAGAATCGAGTAAAAGAAGGATTCGAGCAGGAACTCAATTTTGCATCACTGGGAATCACCTGTTGTACAACACTCATTGGAGCAGTAATAAGGGAACTGCCGGTGTCAACAATGGCTTGTTGTGGACCGGTAGTTAACGTCGTCTCTCTGCTGTATACCGGACAATTCGCCACAGTCTTTCGGCTATCAGAGGTACCCATGTGATTGCTCCCTTTGGATAAATCCATTTTCTAATATTTGATTGAAAAGGATGGAAGTTCTTCGATACCTCATAATGCGCTGGGTCTGTCCCACAGATAGTCACCTCTCCAGCAGCACCCTGATCATTGTTGGCGCGACCCAAGTAGAAAGCAAAGAGGGCTTCCGGACACATTTTCTGCAATGTTTGATGATCAGTCAATCATTTCAATCATGGCATATGAAGAATTGGGCTGCTATGTGGGACATGGCAGCGATGCTTCATCTGTGAACGAGAAAATTGAATAATTTCCCATTTTACAAGCTTCTTTTAGCGCCTGTAGGTTTAACTGACTCCATTCTTTTTCACGAGTGCTGCTTTCCTGGTTTATATTGAAAAAAATTACCTTATCAGCAAAGATCTGATCCAGAGGTGGTGAGATATTGCCTGATGCATCTGCTTCCATGCCATACCGAGAATACCGTCGAATTCTTCTGTCTGAAATATCAGACTTGTGCATGATTCTGTCGTCTAGCTCCTGAAGCTTCTTCCCCTACCGCAAATTGGTCGGTCTCTGAAATGGCACAGCCGAAGCCCTGAGTTCATTGGTGCAATAAATGCAGCCGCAGCCGAACTACAAAAGTGAGGCAAATTTCTCGGAATGCTTGCCACCAACCAGAAACCAAATACTCACGCAAACAATGTCGTAATCGATGTACGCCGCTTCGAGGCTCAGATTGTGATGATTGACTGAGCAGAAGCGTCGTGTCGGTGTGTGTCAGAAGCTCCTAAACTGTAAGGGAACGACGGCATCAACCGACTTCGTTGTTGTTTACGGTAAAAAAGTAGATGTCGTATCAAAATCAACACAGGGAATCGCAACACCTTCCAGTGGACGTAAGGCCACAGTTCGCTACAAAGCGAGGCGCTCGCGCCAAAAAGGACATGAGCTCGGACGTAATGCAGTAGGATCGAGACTGTCGCGCCGCGGCAATAGAGACGCCGCGCGCGAAGGGATGTAGTAGGATGCGGCAGCAAGTAAGGAATACAGGTGCAAAAGAACTAACCCTAAGATCTTGTCAAAATTAGTAATCGGGTATCGATTGAGCTGTATGAAGAACGCCAGAACTGTAATAATATGGCGAATGGTCTGCGACTGCTGAGCGTGCGGCGAACTGATTACAGGATTTCAAGATTTATTGAATGTCATCATGAATTTGACGTGGAATTGACGCATTCCTTGGTGGACTGAGCGAATCCGACACGTTTATTTCCATGATCGAAGACCGTGTAGAAGTTACGAAGAAAGACGTCACC